CCCTTACTTATCGGCTCGGTCTCCCCAAGCCTCAAGCCAGAGCCGAGTCGGAAGGAAGTTGTGAACATGACGGGCAAGATTCGGGAAGTTGACTACAAGATCGCCATCCGGCGGCAGAAAGAATCACGCTCCAAGACTCCAAGCCCGAAGCCGTGACGGTTCAGGCAGGACAGGCGGTGCGAGTCCTCCTGACTTGAATCTGGTAGCTGAGTAGACGAGCTTGCCGTAGAGTTCACCTGCCCTGCAGAAGGGAACTCCACGAAGGTTAGCATGTGGGGATTAGAATTGCGGAGACACGAAGCCAAGGCTGGGCTCAGACACAAGCACTACCACAACATCAAGGCTGGAATCCCGGAGCTAGTTCAATGTTACTACCAGCGTGTAGTATAGCAACTACAAGGAGATTCGGAATCTTGCGGCGGCTGGAGTCCAAGCTCCTTCGTCCTAGCACGGCAGCAATGCAAGCCCGAATTCCGGAAACTTAACTTAGGTCACACATGCACAAGATTTGTGTGCCACGAAGGCGACACAGAATTCTCAGCACCCCATATCATGGTAAGAAGTATTTGTTGCTGTTACAGTCTTCTACGCCGTCTAAAGCAGGGCTCTTGCCACTGTCAGACTCACAGATATCGCGCATGTACACGGGTGCATTTGCATGATGACTGGCTAGGAAATATCACGGGCAAAGCCCTTGCATTGTGCGCGGTAGCACGGGATTTTTGAGAAGGGGCGACATATACCGTTATACCTGTTCACATGTAGACCTTCTGCACTAAGCCTACCATAGCTATTGTCGTTAGAGCTGCATCTCGGCATGTGGTAACCTCAGTTAATGTGTTCAGCCTCTTGGGCAGGATGTGGGCTCCCTGAAGCGCACAATGTCCCTGATTGAAAAGCGGGGTGAGGCGTCCTGTGCGCGGTTGGGGGATCCGAGCGTTCAGGGTTGCTTCTGGGATGAAGGTTTGCGATGCAGATGTTGTTGCAAAGTCTTGAGATGTTTGCATAAGAAACGGAGTGCAGCCCACCCCACTGGGTTCCTAAATTTGGAGGACCACTGCCCCGTTTCCCAGAATCCTAAACTTTCTGCGCATCTGGGCTGCATCCAGGTGCAGGATTCGGAAGTTTCGAACGAGCCTTGCGTTGATGAGGGTTCAGGTTTGGCTTCGGGGTGTGAGCAGACTCCAGACCCTAAGCCCTAAATGAAAACAACTTACACTCAAAGAGTTGCAGGTCGCGCTGGATTTCTCCTCCCAATGTGGAATGTTTGTGCCAGCTTTGAGGGCGTCGGCTTGCAAGTAGCTCTCTGAAAATGCGGGCCCCCCAACCCCGACCCGAGTTTCTTATTTTGAAGACCATTGTAGACGACTGCTAAATTTCAGTCCTTTGTGGGGCAGACAGGAGTCAGAGGGCTTACAAGACCGTGTTCACCTTCACAGCTACAAGGGGGCATGCAAGTCCACATAAACTCCCTGGTAGAAGGGCAGTTCTCACCACCCAAGGCAGGCTTCCTTTGCCCAAACCCGTTCTAGACTTTCTTCTGCGCTTAAGACGTGTTTAGGGTTCGGTAGCAGACCTAATGAATTCGCAACTACATCCCCCATACTCCGATGGGCCCGTGAAACCATCACGAAATAGATGAAGGATCCCTGTCGGCTTTGAGTTCAGCTTCGCCTTCAGGGCTATGGCGCTCTTGTCTGCGATTCTCTTTTTGGGCTTGGGTTGATGTGCAGGTCACCATGGTCATCGACAAGGTCAACGATGCCCTGGAGAGGGGGGAGGTGCTTGGAGCCCGTGGTGCGGGGGAGACGAAACTACGATAGCGATTCATCAAGCTCCTGTAAATATATTCAATTCAAACGTAGATACTGAAGGGCCAGCTACGGCTTTATGTAGCGTGCAACCCCCATTCCTAGTTATCGATCTATCCATCCAACCATCCATCTATCCATCTACGTATCTATCGATCTATCCATC